GTGTGTGTGTGTGTAGCCAATCCCAAACTTGACCATTCTTCACATACCCACACAGTGACACATGCCTGACAGTTTTGAAGTCTTGTTTGGCGGCTACCAAACAGGCCGAGCAGTTGTTTTTTTTCTCCACCTCATACAGGATCATATGGTGGCAGCCTGACTATCCTACCATTCATTTATTTTATTTTTTTACTGCTGTGGCTGGGCTTCACGTGTGTGCAGTGTTACCCAGTAGCAGGATCTTGATCTCTCTCTTCTCCTTCTTCTTCTGCTGCTTGAGGATCCTCTGGATCTCCTTGTCCACAGCCACGGAGGTCTTCTCGTCCTCGGACAAGAAGCACACGCAGGTGCGACGGCACCACCACCAGCAGTCCGCCATGGATGGACGAAAACGTCGGAAATCAACCTGTTAAACCGACAACAATAAAAAACTCGTCGCTAGGCAAATACCACCCCCCCCCCTTTTTTTTTTTTTTCGTGTTCCCTTTGCTCTGACACGGTGTTGTTGTGATTTATTCCGCCACACCTTGCGAATGTTTATTGATGCCGTAAACAAAAAGCGTTTACACAGACGGGGACATTTAAACTGTTAGCTTACTTACTCTATAAAGCCTCGCGCTTTAATTAAAATGACACGATTTGGATTAAAAGTTTGTAAGTTTAGCTAAAAAAAATAAAACAATAACTTAACGCGTGATTTATTTTCCCTACCTCCCAATCAGCGCTCCAAACTTCCTGGACTCCGTTCAGCAGCAGGTACGRGCTCTGACTGCTTGTCGCAAGCCATTATTATTACGTCCCACCGTGTTTCCTCCTCGCGCTCCACCTGCGGCTAACCACCTGCCGTCATGGACGCTGCTGGTGCCGAACGTCTATAAAACAGCCTTTGCCCCCCCYGAAACAACCTGCCGCTCGGGACAGTCCACCGCGCCTACAGAGGAATGTGCAGCCTCGCTGATCCGCTGAAAGCACTCTGGAGTTGGAATGCGCTCACAGGTGAAGCTACGGTGAACTTCCGCTGCCGCACAGGATGTTACACAYCCGCGCCTACAAAATAAGAGCCGAGGGTAGTTCACTTTTACACAAGCTTTTTGCAAATGGACTGACAGATGTATATTTTAGATATTTCTATGTTGCTTATGACCTTAAAAATAAACCRTTTAAATTGCATATCTGCCTTTTCAGTGATTAAAGCATAAATATTTACATGCACCGATTAATTTTGTAATCATTTAAAACTCAAATGTATTTGAGGAGTGAATTTGATCAGCTAAAATATTAATAACTTCTCAATGTTAGGTCTTCAACATTAGAAAGTTTATTATGTTATTATGTCATTTATTCGCAAATAATGCAGTCTAGTTATCTCCAATTTTAAAATCGGTACTGCTCAAATCTGCAATATAAATATTTTTATTGATATTATTTTCAAATGTTGTTTGAAAAATGTTTTATTTAGAGCAACCCATGGTCAAATTTCTTTTAAATGTCTTTAAAATTGTCAGTAAGCTTGTGCTATTTAAATAAACATCAATTTATCTTTAAAAACATGTCATCATTGGTCTTTTTATCTCTTTTTTTTGTTTAATCAGCAGCTATATCCACCAAAATATCCTAACAAATGGTGACATTTCTAACTATATTTTGATTAAAAGTTTCAACTCGTGATTCACTACACTATGCTCAATCTTTGTGTTTTAAATTAAAATGACACACTTGTAATTCTTAGAGGTGATCGATCATAATCTATAGTAAATTAAGGAGATTACATGCCCGAACCAGTTTTTGGAAAATTACAATTTACCATTTTACTGGCACTGACAACAAGTCTGATGTTCCAAGAACRCCAAAACGCGAGACGAGAAATGTTATTTTGAAAGAGTCAAACCGGAAGTGTTGTTAATGTATATCGCGGACTTGACRGCATCTTGCCTGAGTCCGCTACGACAGTGGATAAAGTTTCTGAGGCTCCCTGCTTCACGTTTCAGCTAAGTTCAAGTGAAATCACGGAACCGACAAAAGTTTTGTTTTAATATAACAAATAATAAATAAAAAGTATACTTATACACAGATTTGTTTTTCCCTTTTCTTTTGATTTTATTTCTGTGAACTTGAAATCTCAATCATTTTAACGGTAGCCTAATTGTGCCTCTTTTTCTTTCTTTTTATTCAATTAATGTAACTTGTAGCCTATTAGGTATAAAGCAATACACTAATTATAAAACAAAAACAATGTGTAAAAATTGTAAAAGGGGCCAGTTAGACTGACTGATTTCAGGGCAAAGATAAAGTAGGGAGGTATTTTGTCACTTTGTCTCCTTGGCTGTTATTTTGCACGTCATTGTTTGGTCTGAGCCAGCAGAACCGGTTTGTCCAGGCTTTCATGGTTTCAGATATTGAGATCATCTGAGCCTTCCATTGCTACAGGACAAATTGTCTGCATGGACAGGTCTTTTTTGTGTGTGTGTGTTTCCCATTTGGAAATGGTTTGACCATGTGGAGAAAAAAAATCAATGTACAGTATAAAGAGTCATCTGAAGATTTGTGTCAAGAAATAAACAGACAAAAAGACAAATACAGTATAAAGGCACAGGGGAATCCTGTGGTGAGAGACAGCTGGAGGAAAGTACCTGCTACATTCTTTCTGTAATAGAAAATATGACAGGTGATGAAGAATCCAAACTTTCTAGATAACAATCTGACGTTTGTCTAATTAGTTTGTAGTAAAAGTGACACAGAATATGTCACTCTGAAGAATGTAAGACCTTGTGTTGTTTGCAGTTTTGTGTAAAGTACCTCAAGGCTTACTGTCAAAAGTAAATTTCTGGCATGAAATGTATTTAGGTTTTAAAAGTAAAGCATTGAGTAAAAGTGAGCAATTTGACACTCCAACATAATATTTACTGGGAGACCCACCCCCCCAATAAATAAACGAACAAATAAATAAATTAAATTTAAAAAATAGAAAGATTTTACAAAGGCCTGAATGACCTATAATGTTACGCATACTATATATATATA